AAAAGCCCTGGCAGGTGCCACTATGGAAGGAGGTACAAACTGCCATGTAAGGCCCCAAAGAGGGACTCAACACGTCTGATAATCCATAAGGAAGTAAACCATCTCTCTTCCCACAGGTGAGCAAAAGTCATCAACCTGCCCTTTGTTTCACCCGCACCTTGCATGAAAACATGTGCTCTAGTTGGAAACCAGCATGAAAGACTCACGGGGTGGGCAGCATCCCTAACACCAGTCTTAGGCCATGCCCAGATCCTACAAGGTCTACTAAATGCCCTAGAAAATGAAGTCAACGGGAGAGGGGAAAAAAAACAAAACAGCCAAACAAAGAGCTTGGCATTCTGGAGACCAAGCAATTGACCACATTTCACTTTTCAGTCCGAGTTTTGGCATCTTTTAGTCACTGTCTAAACTATAAATTAGGTCACATGACATTTTTATGGAGTTTTTTTTTAGAGAGAGAATTCTGTACTCATTTTATCCTCATCAAATGCTTTTTTTAAATCTACCCAGAAAGGAAATATTATAGAATTAGCTTAATATTCATTGTTCCATTGGTCACAGAACATCCAAGAGATGACAAAGCCTTGCAATACATGTCACAGAAATGCCCCTGTACTCGTAAGGTGCTAGTCACGCTTTTGGTTCCCGGCAGCATCAGTGTGTGGCCCAGAGTCATTATAGCAACCAAGCCCTGCTCCATTTTTCAAATCAATTACACTTATCATTGAGAAGGGAACATCATTCCCGTGGTTGACTATCTTGTGACGAATGAGTGCTCGCTTTTTCTGAAAATCCCTCCTATAAAAACCTTTTTTTCTGAAGCGGTAAAGATATGAGCTTTGGATTTAGGTGGACTCAAGTTGGAATCCTAGGTCCAATGCTTATTGACTACATGAACTTAGGTAAGTCATTTTTCTCTCCAACTCAGTTTCCTTACCTTTGAAACGAGTTTATTCATACTTATCTCATTGGGTTGGGTTAATGTGAAACCCTTAGCATAATGCCTGGTTCGGAGTGAGGACTCAATAAACTAGAAACATCGTCACTGACGTTCACTGGGCCAAGGTGAGGGATACTTAACTCTCCCTCACTTCCCCCTTCCTAGAAAGCAGGTTGGCCTTAACTGTGGGGGGAGAGAGACTTTAGCACTGTAAGCATCACTGGGGTGGGGGAGGCAGCAGGGCCAGGTTTAGACTGGGTCAGGGGAGGGAGGAAGGCAAAAGGGAGGCAGGTGGGATTCAGTATTAGAAGGGCCCTTGCTCTCTAGTCAGGGAGGGAAAGATCCTCTTAAGGGGAGAAACAGTGAGTGTAGCCAATACAAATCCCTTCTCCTCCAAGTCACCTTGCCCCCACGAAGCTTTAAGGATGATTACCACCAGCATTGCACTGGCCAGCTCAAAACCCCCATGAGGGGGGAATTTGTTCATATTTCTTGGAAAGATAAGGTGTAAGAGATAAAAGCTCTGGATCACTCTGTGCCTGAAATTTTCTGATGATAACAGGGCTTTTCCCATGGGCCAATTTGAGTAGGATAAGGGGACCCATAAAACAGGGAGAGGAGAAGAGCTGCTGGCACAGATCCATTTCTAGAATTTCTCCATAAATTTGTCTCACAGCTACAGGCAGCCTGACAAGGCAGAAAGAGTGCACATGGAGTCAGAAAACCCAGGTTTGAGTCTGGCGGGACTGCATTCTGAATATTCGCATTTTACTACGTACAGGCATAGCAAAATCTCAGTGGTGCCTCCCTCACGGTTGTAGAAAGAATCCCAGGAGAGAACAGAAAAGAAAGTGCTTTGAACACCCCATGTAAGCATTATGTAAGCATTATTGTTATTAATTGGGTACAATCTACCACTCTTTGGTGAATAAAATAGAATTCCTTAATTTTGGCCTTCTATGCTCAGACACGAGCCTTGGCCTCCTTCACAGTATTTCTGGTATCACCAGAGCTGCCCTGGGAATGGGTAACCCCAGAAGACCACTCAGGGCCAACCTTTATGCATCTAAATGTCAGAACACTATCACCAATTTCAAGGCAGTGAATAAACAGCAGGGAAGACATATTTGCTTTGTCTACATCAGGGTTTCTCAACCCTGGACTGGATAATTCTTTGTTGTGCCTTGTAGGATGTTAAGCAGCATCTCTGGCCACTACCCACTAGATGCCAGTAGCACTACCCCAATGGTCATAACCAAAGCTGTCTCCAGAGATTGCCAAATCGGCGGCGGGGGGGGGGGGGTGCAAAATTACCCCCAGTTGAGAAGCACTAGTCTACATGAAGAAAGAAAACATGGAACAAATTAGAGGAGAGGTGTCTGTTAGCTGTGTTTTTATTGCTGCAGAAGACAGATTTCAGGGGCGTGTAGAAGTAGAAAGGGAAGCTGCTGACAGTCACAGGGCATAAATGTGGCAGCTCTCCTCTCTCCAGCTGGAGGACTGTCACCTCCACGGCCAATGGCCACCTCCACAGTTGTCATTTGGGGGACCTGGGGGATGGGAAAAAAGGCTTGCCTGGATCAAAAGCTAATGCCATCTAATACCACATCAGATGTGCCCACATCCTCTGCTGGTGACAAGGACCTCCCTGCCCTGCAGAGGAAACCGACGGTAGAGAGCTCTCCCTCCTCTCAAGAAATCTAGTTTTATTTATATTCCAAAATTTCATGTCAACAAAGGGGGCCTCTCACAGCAAAGAAATACAAGCCAGCCAAGGGTACATCAGCAGCCTCAGAATTGGATCTTTTTTCATTTTCCCAAGCAGCATATGGACCACAAGAAATCTCATGTGTATCAGCCCCTGAGAGACTCAACAAATCAAGGCTTTGATTTTTCCTTGCCTTCTCTGTCATCATTCTGCCAAAGTGGAAAAGCAAAGTTACATTACTAAAGAAGCAAGTGTAAAAAGAACCTTGGTTCTTTTCTAGGCATTTCCAAACAGCTGAAGGAAAGGTGGAATTGGACTTGGTAACGTTGCTCCTTGCCAGGCCTCAGCTATCTCTCAGTCCTTGAGGGAGAAGAGAAGGGGTCAACACTGCCTGGGAACGTCCCAGAGTTGAAGACGACGCCAGAAATTCCCCTAGCAGGGCCATTCCTTTCTCCTCCCACCCCAAATGCCTCTCTCCTGCCTCTACACAGCATCACTCAAACCACACAGAGCAGGAGCTATGACATATGCAGTGACTGGATTTCCGGACAAATAAAAACACAAAGGGGACAAGAGGAGCCACCAATATCCGTGTTAGAGCCCCCTCTTTGGACTCACCTGCTAAGTGTGACCCATCAGCACAGACTGAAAGCCTGCCACATTCCAGGCAGACCGTTCTCCAGGGGCAGCTCAGCCGGGAAGTTTGCTGGAACTTCTGTGGTGTGGTCTGGTCATCCCTAAATACTCTCTAGAAGGCAGAGTTCAGGTCAAGTGAAAGCACTTGGCTCCCTCCCCTGAGAAAGCCCCACAGCCAGCTGGGGAGCAGGTGCAGCCTGCCAAAAGCAAACAAAAACTTTGCTCAAACAACAACAAACAGTTAACACCCGCAGCCTGTCAACACCAATTAGCCTGCCCTAAAAGCAGAAGCCTATTAAAACCAGTGCTCAAATTCAGCAGGTCCTCTGAAAGCAGGAACTGTCCTGGCAGGGCTTCCCCCAAGAAAGTGACCCTGGATGGAAACTCAGGACAGCAAGCACATCTCTTAGGCCCCTACACTTAGGGAACCAGGCTGGGCGGGATTATGACTTTCTTGGGCCCTAGGCGCTTTTGCTTTCACGGGCTCCTTCCTCCATAATAATAATAATAAAATTGATTTTTAACCTAACTTTAAATACTTAATATTTTATTTTCTCAGTGTTTTAGGCAAATTTTAACAGGTTTTTGTGGGCCTGAAAATTAAGATATTTCCTTTGAATGTTTTCATTTCCTTTGGGGTTTTTTCTTCTACTTTTAAAAGAAATGAAACATTTTCCTGGGCCCCTAAAAGTATTATGGGCCCTAGGCACTGTGTCCACTATGTCTGATGGAGAAATAAGCCCTGATTCAGTAGAAACTTGCAAGTTTTTAAAAATACTGTTGCCCATGGCCCATACATCCTGTCAAACCCAGCTCTGGCCTCTTTTGAAAGTCCATTCTATTGATAAAATACTGACATAATATACCCGGAAGTTACATATCTCAACTCATCACTTTAAGAGTGATCCTTACACAGGTAGACTCCAAGACGCTTACAAAAAAATCAAGTCATCACGAAAGATAGATTTTCTTCAATATTTTATTTATATAGAAATACTTAAAAAATGAAGTAGCACCATTACTTAAGTTTTACCTTTATTATGTAGAACTTTAAACGTCAGAAAAATAAAACTCTTGATACAATTTCAAATCTTGTCTCAGCAAATATAATATTAGTATTTGACCATGAGGTTAAAGGCCCTTTATCATAAAATAAAATATACTTTGTTTTTTAAACTTTGCTCAGTAAAGTACATTTAAGCTCAAGTAACATCACCTACATATACATAAACAAGTGGTAAACAAATGTATTAAAATAGAAATACTAAAACTATAGTGGTGCAACAGAATTTTTGTAACTTGCACTGAATTCTATTTATACAAATGTTAGAAAGCATCAACAGTTCCTTTTGACATGTTTATACATTTCCACTTTTTTGTAATAATATAGAATAAAATATGCTTTATATCACTGAATAGAAAATATGCTGGGTGAAGCAGATCTAGAAGATTTGTCTGAACCTATAAAATCTCCATCCCAACAGAATACTGTTCAAAACATTACACATTTTATGGTTTGTAATTCCGCCACAATTGTGTGATTATTAAAATAATACAGTGTTCTTTGCCATAAGGCCATACTAAAATAAAAAGATTTAACCCAGCTACAAAAAAGTTCACTGAACTTAAATTAAAATACTTGTAAACATCTTTGCAATATGAAATATAATTTTTCAAGTCAAAAAAGAATAAAATACTTCAATCTGTATTAATGCAATTTATCTTTAAAATTTTTAAATGTTTTTAATATATAAGAGATATGTTACAGTTTCTTTAACTTTAATAAAGCTGCAGTATCCTGGTTTCACAGGAACTCCTGGCCCTTCCACGAACATTCAGAAAGGATCCACTGTGTTCTATAATAAGCATCGTAGGAACCCAGCCACAAAGGGGAACACACTACAACAGTCCACACATCCCATAGCACTATTATTGTCATCTTCATCATAATAATTATTGTTCATTTTTTCCTACTTTAAGAAAATGGAAAACTTGTGGGTTTTTCTTCTTTTGAAAGCTTCCTATTAAGTACAGTGTAAAAACTATCATTACTAGAATGTCGCCGTTCCTATTATTTATAGAGCATGCATTTCAGGCGGTTCACAGGTTTCCCAGGCCACAGTACTCTTGACGCAGATATCCTGGCAAGTTCCTTTGTTTAAAAATTAAATTTTAAAAATTAGCGGATACTACAGCTTTCCAAGCTCCTCTCGGATCTCAGAGTGTGAGCAAGGGCGAAGGAGAACGTGGGGCACCAAGGAGGCGAGGCGGGCGGGCGCTGGGGTGTGAGGATGGAGGGGAGGAGGGTCTCCCCTCCCCGGCGTGGTGCGCGCAGGCGCGCGCTGCCTTCAAGAAAAGATGCGGATGGCCTGAGTGACCGCGGTGTGGCAGACCGGGCACTCCGGCTCGCTCTTCTCGCAGATGCGGTTTGCGCACTCCATGCAGAAGAGGTTGTGGCCGCAGGGCACCAGCGCGGCGATCACTTCGCTCTCAAAGCACACGGAGCAGTCGCGGCTGCCCTTACGGCGCAACCCGGAGGAGGACGATGAAGAGCTGGAGGAGGAGCTGGACGACGACGAGGAGCCGGATGTGTCCGAAGGCTGCAGGCCGGGCAGCTGCGACCCCAGCCCGTTGGCAAAGGCAGCGTAGGCCAGGCCCCCTCCGCCCGGGTCGCTGCGCACCCGGCGAGCCAGGTGGTGCTCGCCCGCCCCCGGGGCCATGTGCAAGGGCGGGGACAAGCGCGGGCAGCTGGTGCCCGGGTGCAGCCGGCGGTGCACCAGCAGCCCCAGGTTGGCGTTGGAGGGCGCGCTGGCGCCGCCCCCGGGAAAGACCACTGAGGAGGACGAAGCGGACGAAGATGCAGAAGACGAGCAGGAAGAGGACACGGGAGCTGCAGGTCCGCCTCCCGGGGACCGCTCGAACTGGGCCCAAAGAAGTGGCGCCCCAGCCGGCGGGGCAGGAGCCGGGTCGAAGGTGGGCTGTAGCTCAGGACAACTGTCGGGGGAAGGCACGGAAGCTTCCCCCGCTGTGTAGGTGTATCCATTGCCATTGTTATTGTTGTTTCCGTTGTGGGCAAAGCTGAGCGCGGGGCTGGGGGGACTGTAGTCCGCCAGGCGCGGGGTGGCGGCTGCGCTGCCGCTGGTCCCCCCGCCGAAGTAAGAGTCTGTGGAGGCGCTGCCAAGCGAGCTGGAGCTGTCGTTGCGGTAGCTAGAAAAGGGCTTGCGGCCTGGAGTGGGCGTGATGCTGGGGGTGGGCTTGCTCCAGAGGCTGCCTGGGCCGGACCCGCCGGACCCATGGTGCAGATCAAAGCCCACATCGGTGCCGTTGGCATGGAAGTCGTTCTCGTCTGTGAGCTCAATGATGCCGCCAGTGCGCAGGGCGATGTGCGCCTCGATCTCCTCGCGAGCTCGGTCCACGTTCTCAGGCATGCCGGTCACCTCGAACACCGGCTCCTTGTCGCGGCTGGGCGTCACGATGTACGTGTGCGTCTGCTGCTGGATGCGCTTGATCGTGGCGCCCTTGGGCCCCACCACGAGCCCTACCACGCGATAGGGCACCCGCACCTGGATAGTGGTCTGCCCGGGCAGGTTGGGCGGCCCGGGCACTGCGCCGTTGAGCGCTGTGTTCTTATTCCGCGAGGCGCGGATCATGGAGAAGTGCTCGGCGGCAGAGATGATCTCCCTCCGAGCCATGGCCACATCCTCCTTCCTGCCTGTCACAACAAAGACAGGCTCCTCCCCGCGAACCGGGGTCTTGATATAAGTGTTGGTCTTCGCCCGCAGCGCTTTGATTTTACAACCTGGGAGTCAGGGTGCAGGGGAGGGAGTGGGAGAGAGAGACAGACACGCCCATTATCCCGGGGTACCCGCAGAGACCTGGGACAGCCCGCGTCCAGGGCAGCGGGACGGCAGGACACGCGATGGGCGGAAAGGGGGCGGCTCCCTCACTGACCCTGGGCCGCGCCAAGGGCTGGGAAGCGGTTCCACCCGCGAGGCGCTCGAGGAACAGCCCATTGGCTGCCCAGCCCTCCCCCAATGACTGCAGTCGTCCCGAGACAAACCCGAGAATCCCAGAAAAAGTCAGCTGGGGAGATGCCGCTGAGATCCAGAGGGGCGCGCCATCCGCCCTGAAGACGCGGCGAAGGGGGTTCAGGGAAGACGGCCGGAGCCGCGATCCCCCAGCACGGGGGGACTGGTGGGAAGGGAGGGCAGTCCCGGGACCCATTGTTCCTCCTCTGGGCTCCATTCCGCTTTGCAGAAATCCAGAATCCTCCTCCCATCCGATGCTCACTCCTCCTCCTCCCCCCTCCCAAAGGACCGATCAAAGGCCCCCTCCCCCAAGCATCTTATATTTAAATTATATTTCCCCCGGTGGGCTGGGTGGGGGACACTAGGGGAAAAGGCAGTGATTTTAGCAGGATAAAGTGCATCCCGCCGTGGCCGCGGCGCGGCTCCGGGAGACAGCCTGCCTGCACTTTCTTTGTCTGGGGCGCCGGCCCATCGCGCGGCTCTTCCTCCCTCCTCAAGGCTCCCCGGCGCCGCTGATCTCGATCCCCCTCGCCCCTTCCCGCGGGGCGGTGGCCCGAGATCCTCTCCCCTTCAGCTCCCCATCCCTGCCGGACCCACCTTGCCGCCCCACGATCTCGGCGACATGCTCGGAACTGGGCACCGGCACGCACTCGGTCATGTTCACGCTCTTCTTGCGCGGCTCGCTGTCGTAGAGAGAGGCGCCCTCGTCACTGTCTAGCCCCAGAAGGGAGAGCTGGTCGAGCGCAAGCTGCAGGGCTCTTTGGTCATCCAGGGTCTCTCCCCCGCCGCCGCCGCCGCTGCCGCCGCCTCCCCCGCCGCTGCCTCCCCCTCCGCCGCCGCTGCCGTTGCGCTCCAGGTCTGCAAACAGCGAGCTGGGCATCGCTCCGCCGTGCGCGCCGCGCCTCCGCCGGCCCTCGGCTCGGCGGCGAGAAGCTGCAGCCACAAAGGCAGCCGGGAAGCGAGTGGTCAGGGGCGGGGAGGCCGGTTGGCTGCAGAGGGCTCCGTTGCTCCTTTCTCGGCGCGGAGAGGAGTGGGTTGCTCCGTGCAGTCCGCGCCGGGCAGTGGCTGCAGGAGCCCCCGCCTGGGTCCCCACCCCAGATCTGCTGGCGGGTGGGGTGGGGGCAGAGCTCGAGCGGCAGCCGCGCGTGCCCCCGAGTGCCCGGCTGGCTGGCCACAATGCCGAGCAAGAAGCGAGCAGGCGAGCGACAGCAGCGTTTCTTTAAGGAGCCCCTCCCCGGCTCCTCCACTCCCTCCCTCCCGCCCGCCCGCCCGCCCTCACTCAGCGCTTTTTCCTCCTCTCCTCCCCGCCTCTTGACTGAGCCTCTGCAGCCAGACGGCTCCGGAGGGGGACGAGGGAGGCGCAACGTCACCGGCGGGAGCTGACACTACAATGCTACTGACACTATCACTGGGGGAGGCGATTGGCGCGCGTCGGGCCGGGGGCGGGCGGAGGCCGCCGGCTAAGCAAGCGGAGAGCGAGCGCCCTCACCCCCGCGCTCGCCGCAGCCCGCCCCGTCCTCCTCCTGGCCGCGCCCCTCCCCCGCCGCCGCTAACGCCTCTCTTTGTTGTCTAATGCGGGACTGGCAGGCTCGGGACACTTGGACGTACCCATCCACCGAGGACAGGCACTGTCCCCAGGTCTCCTCCCTCGCCTGACTGAGAAAAGGAAACGCGCCCAACTCGGATGCCAGGGGCCCGGCTCTAAGAGAGCGGTCCTTAGAAAGTCCCGTTAGTGTCCCCAGATAAGCCACTCCTGGAGCCAAAGGTGTCACTGGGAGAAGGGTCTATTGTCTGCCCAAAAGGGCGGTCCGAGCCCTCGGACACGAAAAGCAAGACTGGGGGTACTGGTGCGCAGGGCAAAGTGGCTCCCGGCGCGGGCTGCCCACCTGCGCGGGAGCGCACGAGACACAAAGGCACACGTCCGCCCGCATCGCCACTCGCGCGCCCGCGCCCGCAATTCTGTCCCCTTGGGCAGCACTTCACCCAAGTGGGCCTGAAACTGCGGATCGGAAAGCCAGACACCGGCTGCAGCAAGGGCCTGGCCCGCCCAGCTGCCCGCGACCTCTGGAATGCACGGCGCCGGGATCCTACACACACCCCGCGCGCCGGCTGAGCCCCCGCGGGCGCTGACACGCGCGCGAGCGCGGCGCAGCCACGGCGGAGTCGCTGGCCGCAGCTCCAGCGGGAGGCGG